AAACTATTGCATATATCATTTAAAGAAATAGAAATTATACTTACTTGGGTGGACAAGGTATAGTATTGCACCGTGCTTGCGTTTCTCGTGGCTTCTCCAACGCGTGACACCTTTTATCGGGAACAGGCGTCTGCGTGAATTCCCTTATGCAGACATACTTCAGTATCTGGAAACCTTTTTTTAAACCATACGTAAAAACAAGGCTGCTTCAGTTGACTTTTTTAAGTGAATAACATTACCTCCGCCGCAAGTTTTGCTACACTCGGTATATCCGCTCGGTTTCCAAAAAAATTTCCTTTTCTTGTATCGCCTGGGAACATGCGGTTGGATTCCCTCACTGATAATAGGACCACTATCTATCCTAAAAGTCACAAACTGTTAATACACCAGGAGTGCAGATATTTTAATTTCTCTAAATCCCATTTGACAATTAGAGTACTCTTTAATTAAAACTCAAAAGTCAATCGTTAATTCGAATTTCTTCCAATTAAGCTAGTTAAATAATTGTAATTACGAATAAAAAACGGAACGTTAATTGCCAGTTAGTGTTCAATTAAATTAATGATTGAGTCATTTATCTTCAACCTCGACGTTAACATACTACTCATAGTAACATACGAAAAATATATATGATTAAACTCTTACTTTTTGTGAGGAACAGTTGGCGAAATGGGTTCAGCAGCTTTATTAGATACTGAAAATTGAATTTACAATAATAAATCAAGAACAAATGTTTGTAGTTTTAAAAATAGCATAGACGATATGTCATACTTGTTTTATGACTAAGATGGGAATTCGGAGAAACAGGTGCACCCCCGGGGATAATGTATCGGTATACAATTCCGGGATTCGGGTCTTGATATAAAACCTAGATAAAAATTTGTTTGTTTCATATGTACATGTACAATATCGTTAAAATTTTGTATTGTAATTCCATCGTTATGGATAGCTAATAATAATTTCTATCGCAATCGTTTATTTACCATGACATCAATAGGCTCTTGCAAAGGTCCGACAGCAGAAAAGCTTTCCAAGTTCTGAGGGCTTTGACGAAGATAAACAAATGTCGTACCAACTGCCTGATATTTGCCAGACAAATTGATGCTGTAATTTCCATTGAACAAGTAGCTGCCATCTTGTAGCTTGACCGCTAAAAATAAACCGAGATAAAATCTTCAAAAAAAAGTTATATGACCGTATAATTTTTCAATCAAAATTAATTTGTATTTCAATCGATTAGTCGACAAAGATGATATCACGTTTATGGTTCACGAGAAAATCAGATTTGAAGGAGTGTAATGTTCATAAAAATAAAATACCTGTTCGCCGGACGAAGTGTTAAGAAACATTGAGATCGACCGATTCAATCGGTCGTGTTCATAATTATTTCGCTCAGTTGTCACGCACGCGTAGCTAAATCGCATAATCATTCGGGTAATGAAACGGAAAGTCGTACATTGCGCTCGCATGTGAGAACAGCGCAGTGTAAGTACGTATGTATGTACGCGATATGATGCATTGGAAATATAGACGAGTCATTTAACGGACATACGTGCATCGCGCAGACTACCCGCTGCGTGTCTTTCAACTCTGCTCAAGCTTAGTTAAACGAAACATTAAGCTCATATTAGCAGTAAATGCGAATTGTTTGCCTATTTTTTCAAACTACGTCCTACTTTACGGCAATGAGTATAATATTTAATAATGAGAGACATGGAAAAATTTTATAAATTAGTTTTACACGGAATAAATGTTCAATTATACTATTTATATACTCGTGTCTTGAGCTTCATAATAGAACAATCAAGAGAAAACTAAAATTCATTCTTGGAATTCTCAAGTTTATATTTTTCTATTATATGAAATTAACTAAATATTTATAAATAATTAAATTATTAATTTATAATTTGTATAACAGAGCAATGGAATTTGTTCAGAATTACGAAATGACTATTAAGAATTCATATGAAATCCGTAACTGATCATATCTACCATATCTTTAGGTCTGCATGATTTGTTTGTATTATTTCATGTCTACTTAGACGTTCTTTTAAGATGTAATGTACGGCTACTGACTCAAAGGTAATGGAAACTGTCTAGTCGTCTTTTTATGCAATAAAGGTACATGACTACTAAATTGATGATAATACTCACTACATTCCTTTTATAGGTTTATAATACGTCAATTGATTTGATTCATTGCGAAAATCCTGATTACGACCATTTAACCGAGCTGCTGGCGAAGAGAATTATTCGCTGTCGACTTTACGATCAATTCGATTTACGTGATTCATATCGGATTTAAAACAATGAACGTAAAATGTTCCATAAATGACAGGGAGAATAAAATTTAATAGATCAAGAAACATACATATACAAACGAGGCGGATATCAAGTGGACGCAATTCAAAACGGAATAACTTTTTTCATACCGGTCTAAGCAACATGCTGTCAACTTAATATCCGCCTCGACTGTACATACACTATCAATTAAGATCTAATTTGAAGATAAAAAATACTGTTCTTTTTTTTATTTAACTTGTAATCAATTTTATTTAAAGTACTATCCAGAAATACTGAAGTTCGTTTTCATGCTTTAAAACATCAAAATGCTTATGATCATGACAATACAACAGCGTAAGGCGGTTGTGTGGAATGCCGACAAGAAAAGAGATCATATGAAAAAAATTCTAATACAATAGCATTAGACAGGTTATTCCGGTGCTGAGAAGCCAGTAGTCCTTGCGATTACCATTAGAACCATCTGTCAGAACGCATCAAGGGACAAAGCTGAAACCAGGCATTGTGTGCGTCACGTGAATAGCCACTGCCTGTTTCATTTACGTCCTACTTAGCGCCGTGTACAAAGATTAGATTATGCGAGGGGTTGTTGATGTCAGGAGCACGTTATGGTATGCCTCGAATGCATACGTAGAAGATGAATTCTTTGATACGTAAGATCTTGCATAGATAATAAAGCGGGAGCAGCAGCCGCTGATTGCCTGCAATAGCGAATAATCACCGGAACGCGACGACTCGTTTGCTGGCACAGTTCATTAATTAAAATCAGTTTGTTGCGCTCGTACGAAATTCCGCGTATTAGTCTGATTCAATATCTCGTGTAACCTTCGTCCGGATTCGTTCTCGAATTCTTTACCCTCGTTAGAGCTGTGTTTCTCAGCCTCTTAGTCACGCATTACTCCTACTTTCACGCCATTGTTATCGAATTTGCATGCGTTTTACGAATCGTCAATTATCGGACATTAACCCACTCATTATGATCGCTTCTACTAATGTAAAAAATTATTGTACGACACGATTGCAAAATTTTTATGAACTGTTTTACCCAGATAATTCTCCGTATGACGTAACTGTGATGATTTATCGAATTTTAGTATAAAAAATTATGAAACGAGGAAGTAATTTATTTCTTCATAATTATGAAGTCATTCTGCGGAACTCAAGTTAGCCAGCAGGATTTTAATTAAGCATATAATTAATCAAACGAATCCTACTTAGTCATGCACGAGATTTTGTTTAATCAGTGGAGGCAAGTCTATATGGCTGGTCACTCGGTCAACTATTCCCCATAGAATAATCGACAAAAACAGAAGTGGTGTTTTCGCACGTGGCTGTCTAGCGTGTTGCCTGTACAAACACGGTTGAATCGAAGTGGACCCTCGAATATACGACGTCGCGACGCGAATCAGTAAGTCACAACATGCAACACGGGGCACGTGTTTGAACGCGCAAACCGACGTGAAATTATGGCTGTCACAGAATAAATTTAGCCCCATTCTTCTTGCTGGCGCAGCGCGGATATGTCCGAATGCCAGCTGCACACCGTCGCGTCCCGTATGTGAATCGCGACAGCTCGAGTGCACCGGAAATCGAGGACCGCTTCGTGGGCGATCCCGATGGTGCCATCCGCGAGCCACTCACGGTTCACAATCAGTGAAAGCTTCTCGGGATTATGGTGTTTCGTGCCTCCATTAAGGAGCCAATTGCATTCACGTGCATTTGTAAGAAATAATAAGTGAATGTTGTTTCTTGGCGAGGAGAACGTCGTTTCGCAGGATATGCTGGTAATGGATGTTATTGCACGTCACGTTGACATGAAATGTTAATTTCGCGCGATGTTAATCGCTTAATGTCGTGTGACTGATGAACAGAGGTATTGGATTGCAATATAAAATATAACAGTGAAATATGACAGGTTGATATTTGACCTGCTTAAACGTCTCGCGATAAATAATCGTTTTCTCTATTGACGCGTTTTTAGGCGTGGTACTCGTTTGTTGTCTTCAGCCTATATTTAGCAATTTGTTACGAACTCTCGATTCGCTGTAATCTTGCGAGTCGAGAAATCATAAACCGGAATTAAAGTTTCTAGTAATCTCCGAGCATCTATAAAAAATTATTAAGATTTATAAGTCGTAACTTGTAGGGAACGTGACTATTAATATTCACGTCTCGTAAACGTCTCCGTTATCTACGATTTCAATCGGGCGTGAAAAGAAAAATTGCAACAATTTCTTAGAAGAGGCTTGTCTATTTCTGGCCGCGCAACGGACAATAAAGATGTAATATTAATTTCTATCAGTCAGTGGGTGGAAAATTGATAATCCGAAGTTAATGTTGCGAAAGAGAGGATATATTATGATATTAAACGTTACGTACGGTCGACGTCTTCTATTCTCACGTTTGATGGAGTTAGAGAGGATCGAGCTGGCGTAGAATTGTATGTTCAATTGCTTGTAGTACGTGGGTTAGCGTTACATGGGCGTAGAATCGATAGATGGGACGCCAATATAAATCATAGGGAAGACCACATGGCCACGTACAAGCAAGTGCTTCGATGGTGATTTAGGTCGGATCTGGAGGCTAGCATCTATTATAGCTGTTTGACTGGCCGATTTACAGTATCACGATAGCTTCCTTGAAAATTCTATTCTATTTCGGCGCACAATTTCGCAATCTAGGAATGCATTGAGTTAGCCGACGTGTTTAAAATATTGCCCGAGCAATTTCAGAAGCTGCAATCAGACCTCATCGAGAGATGCGAACATTGGAACCAATTTTAATCCGTGGTTGGAACTTGATTCCGCTAACAAATTAAACGAAGCCTTAAAAAAAATATCTACGCTCCCTTAATTCGATCCAATAAAGCGGCAATCTGCAGAGCGCATCAATCGGAAAAAGTCATGGTCCATTTTTCATCGACGTTCATTGACTGCGTCCTTGATACTCGCTAGAGCTGAACGTTACGCTGTTATTGGCACTTCTTTTTTCAGTAAAAGCTAATCGGTAACGTGCATATAAAGCCGCGCCCGAAGTGACACTCCTCGGGGCGCTGTGATTGGATTAACCCAGGATGAATGTCAAGTTACTTTTGCCGCTGACAACGCTGCTGCGACGAGGAGCCCTTCGATGTTAATTGTATGAATATCGCATGAGCGAATTTGTAAGTCGGTCAGGAAGGGGAACAATGCGAGCCACGACGCCGACACCGCCATCGGCTCGGATCTGGTTCGATAGTGTCAAACGACGTGAAACAGGTCCCCGATTACTTGATATTAACGACGAGGATCCGACGTAACGTGTCCCAAACTCACCGAACGTTAATGTTACCTCGCGTCGATCGTTATCTACGATTTGTGTTTGTGACAATGACTTTAATTTACGACCGCTTCTATGGGATTATGATTACAAAGAAATTTATGGAATTCCTTAATTACGTAATGTACGTAATAATTCACCCGAGAGGTTCGATCGACCAGAGGATGTATCGTGATTTCATGGAATATCTTCTTCTTCTATCGTGAGGAATCACCTTTGAACTTTTTGTAGAATGCCGATTTTTTCATAATAAAAATAATAAAATAATAGGAGAATTAATTTTTCTAAATGGAGTCGCATATTTTTTAATCACGTTCATTATTAAAAACGTATAAAAAAGATTTTTATCATTCAAATTAATATGTAAGATAAATTGGGGAAAATAGTTTAATTGATAGAGAATAGCAATTTTTCATTGAGATGAAATATGAATATTTGATATCAGTTGGGGGTAGCAATTTCTTGTTTAAAAAGAGATGACCTGTATTCACTATGTTCAGTGTGACTTTTTATACCAAATAATTTTCATTCAATCATATTTTAAATAACTTTAACCCTATGAGATATGCCACTGTTTTCACTTGAACGAAATACTTCGTCTAAGTATATTAAATACTACAACTCTTTAAGCTTAAAAACAGCACAAATAGTAAATGAGGAGAGCATATTAATAGGAATGTTTACTGCTTAAATAGCCTCCAGTCTCTAGTTATAATACAGTATTATAATTACGATTTCACATTCTACAGATAACACATAGACTTCATCATCCTCGATTATCATAAAAATTAAACATCCTTTTTATCGTTTCATTCTTATCGCACGCCGCATCTATACGAAATTCTACAACATCGTACCACGAACCAAGAAAAAGAGGAAACGCCACACCTTTACATTCATTAACGCCGAGTTTTGTGGAACAGCCATTCGTTACGCGGTCAAAATGTAACGTGAACATGAATTTATGGCGCCCGTAGCGTTTGAAATAAACGACGGAGTTACAATAATCCACATACTCTATGCAAATACATTTACGATGTTATGGGATTTGCGAACTTTCACAAAGAAAAATTATACGTCGCACATGTATATAATATATATGTACATTTAAACCTCGAATACGCGGAGTAGCGTAAATCCGTGGAAGTGTTAAAGCACATTAAATTACGTCGTGCGCGTTAACTTGTAATAACCGAGTCATAATTCTTCCAGCAACATTTACAAGCGGACCCATGCGAGGCCACACCAGGTGTTTACACTCCGATAAAGCATTCGGAGTGTACCTCGTGTCAGTTCCCTTCGGGAACCACTTGCGAATTTGAGTCGCCAGAAAATTTTATTCCAGACAGTCCAGGAACGTTTGTGTAACAGAGAATCAATTATTCGATCTAATAGAAATTTTCTATAAGAATCAAATGATAAAAATGATCATTCGTATAACTAGAAATTGGTAATGTAAAACAAGAAACGTGAAACCATGAAAAATGTATGTTTATCAATTTTCTTTTAAATCTATAACAGAATATATATTTAAAGAAAAACAGGTGGGAGTATCTGAATAAAAAATGATATCTATAAATATCTCAAAATGCTATTTTGGTCACTCCGATTTTTTTAAATATTATAGAATTATCTTAGAATATTTAAAGAAGAATATACAAAAAAAATAGACGTACATAAACTTCCCAACCAGATTTTCCATTTGGTGAATGCAAAAAATTGCAAAAAGGATTTGAGAGTTGCGTTAAGATAAGCGGCTAATTAATAATCGGCTTCAAGAGGACCCAATGAATCACCGTGGGTCATCGTGAGGTACACCGGACAGCGTTACACTCCGGATTCACGATGATGAGGATTAAATAGCTCTTGTGACTGCAGAAATAGCTTAACAAGAATAAACGTCGAACTTGATTCTGATGTTACACATTATCAGCAGCGATCATCGTGATGCGAATCCGTGTCATGTCAAGGGAGAAGAACGAAAGTGCGATTCGTTCATTCACATTCGCACGATATCCCTGGTTTCGATCAACGAGTTTATACGTCATTCTCAACGTTTAAAAAAATTCATGCCCTTAGAAGAAAGACAAGCCACGTGAAGACATAAGACACACAACAGTGCATGCTATTAATAAGAAGATTAAATTTTTTTTTTAATTTAGCACTGAAAATGAAAAAACTACAAGTAACAATGCAATTTATGTTTTCTTAAATAAAGGAATTGAATTGTGCAAAACGATGAATGTATACAAAATTACTGGCATTTAATTTTCCTTCGGAAGGTTTGAAGCAATCTGAAGTGAAGAAACATTTCACGGTTTCGCGGAATTTCATCGTTCTTTTCACGCCTCTCAACCAGTTCGCCAGTATAATTGACTTTTCTCGATAAGACCGGATTCCGCAGCGAATTCGAAATGCTTTTTCACGGTGGTCCGCAACGGGGAAGAGCGAGCGCTGAGAGAAGCACGTCTTTTTAAACGCCTGCACCTCCTAGCTCTTCCCGCTCCGTTCCGCACTCGGAACGACCAATGAAGCCTACGTTCCGTTTTACAACCTGCTCGCGCTGGCGCCGGTTACGCGTGCACGCTTCGTAATGCGCCAGATGAGAAAGGGATGACACGTGAAAGCAGAACTGATAGTCAGGGAATAAGCACGGTCACGTGCACCGTCATCGCGAAGTCGGACGTCATCGTAGGTAGAGGCCATTTCCCTGATAGAAAAATTTCGCTGAACGATGCAGTGGACTATAAAAACTTATTTAAGCTGGTTCTATAGGTACTCTTTAATCAATACAGAAATCGAGCAATTCTTCCTCAAA